ACTCATGGCAGCCCAGCTCCAGGTTGAGCTGTTGTTCAGCATCTTAGCTGTGGAGGGCAGTGTCACTGGCCCTCATATGTGGGATCCGAACCAGGGGACTCTGGCGTCCCAAGCCAGTTCTTAACCATCGCGCCACTCGGCCAGCCCTTGAGTGATTCTAATAGGAACATGAGCACAATAAAAATCATCATTATTATGGGGGCTTTCTTATTTTTTTCAAGTAAATGCAGCACCTGTCCACCAACTTCTGAGCATCTACTGTGTGTCAGGCATTATGGAATTTACAATCTTTAAAAAAAATAAATCAATTTAGGGCCGGCTGAGTGGCATGTTCATTAAGAGCTGGCTTGGGATGCCAGCTCTGAGCAGCAGGGCCCCGGTTCGGATCCCATGAGGGCCAGTGACACTGCTCTCTACAGCTAAGATGCTGAACAACAGTTCGACCTGGAGCTGGGCTGCTGTGAGTCACTGGCGACGGCGTAGGCTGCAGCCCCTGCTGCAGTGGGCTGCCATGGGCTGCCATGTATGGCCTGCAGTCAGTGTGAGCGGCTGGCAGCCAGCATGAGCTGCCAAGAGCCTCTGTGAGCGGCCGTCTAGATGGCCAGCGACCGATCTGCCTCATCCGGGAAGAGCGCAATGATAATACCAACATGGGCCAGTGGAGTGGTGTCCTTCACAACTAGACTGAAGAACAAAAGGACAGCAACTTGTCTGTTCCCCTTCCCCTGATTCCCCAGCGCTGTTCCCCTCCCCCAATTCCCCAATAAAATCTTTTTTAAAAAATCAATTTCATAATAATGAACAAGACAACAGTTGTTCATTTTTCAGTGGCTTTTACTCAGATGCCAATAAAAAAATGGTTAATTAGGAAGTCACTTAAAATAGTGTCATAAGTTCCTGCTGTAAAACTGTGTGTGATTTTGCTTTTCTTTAAGATTTTACTATAAAATGCTTATTTTTGTTAGTCAAAAGAGAAGGTAAGGGGTAGCCGGTTAGCTCTGGTGGTTAGAGTGCAGGCTCATAACACCAAGGTTGCTGGTTTGATCCCCACATGAGCCACTGAGCTGCGCCCTCCACAACTAGATTGAAGACAACTACTTGACTTGGAGCTGATGGGTCCTGGAAAAACACGCTGTTCCCCAATAAAATTTTTTTAAAAAGAGAGAGAAAAGGTAAGATAGTGGAGGTTGACTCGAGTAAAGTGCTCACAAGAGTCTTTATGTAGTAAAACAAAAACACACCAGCCTGGTTTAGACAGAGCTTTGCTTTAAAAATGAGCCATACCAAAATTCAGTTGCAAAATTAAAAGTGAAAGTATCGGAAATGAGATTCAAGAGTCAACTACCTAACCCAATTCTTCTTTGAACCCGATATATGACTTAGAAGCCACTTCATAAATTCTCATGAAACTGCCTCCTCATTGAACATGAGAATGACTCTATTAAAAGCTTAATGAGCTTAATTAATGAGCACTTAAGATGCTCAGGGTAAAAATAATTACTCTCAATTGTTGTAGTTGTTCCATAAACCTACAGATGTGATAAAATGGCATGAACTACACACGCACATCATACCAATGTGATTCGTCCTGGTTTAAATATTGTACTTTAGCTATGTAAGATGGAACCATTGAAGGTCACTGGGGGAAGGGTACCATGGGATCTCTGTACTATTTTTGCAACTTTGTGAATCTGTTATTTTAAAACAAAGTTTTTAAAAAATTACCTATTGCATTTTGACCCTTTGGTATGTTATAAATTCACAAAAGTATATTTGAGCACTTATTATTTGAAACATGGTGAAAGCCATCCTGCATAAATATTGAACATGGATGTAAATCATGACTTGCTCCCTCATTATCTACGACTTTTGACTAACTTGGAGGAAAGAGGCAACTGCCCAGATGATTTGCATAATGTGAGATTTTTAATTAATTACCCATGAAATGAATATGCCAATCTGTGGATAATTCACAAACAAATGGCATGAAGTACCCAGTTAATATCAGTGTCATTATTCACGTGGCTTTCATTCTTCCTTTTGTTTCGCTCATCACACCCAGCTCCCTCTCAGGTTATTTCTGAATGGCTCCATCTCTAACGTTTCCAAATAAGGGGTTTTCTTTTTAAACTTTTCATTTTAAAATATTTATACTCACAAGAGGTTGCAAAAATAGTACATAGCGGTCCCATGTACCCCTCATTCAGCTTTCCCCCAATGTAATGTAACTATATTGACATTGGGACAATCTCCAGACTTTATTCAGATTTTGCTAGTTTTTACACGCACATGTGTATGTGTGTGTGCGCAGGTCTATGTAACTTTATCGCATGTATGGATTCATGTAACCACCATGATGATCAAGATACAGAATTGCTCCATCATCCCTAAGGATGTACTACCCTTTTATAGTCATACCAACCATCCTCTCTCTAACTCCTGGCAACTAGTCATCTGTTCTCTAGCTCTGTAATCATATTATCTTGAGAATGATAGATAAATGGAGTCACACAGTATGTAACCTTTTGAGGTCACTTTTCACTAAGAATGCCCTTGAGATTTATCTAAATTGTTGGAGGCATCCACAGTTCATTCTTTTTTATTCTAGAGTAATATTCCATTCAAATAATGTTTTACCAAAGGAACCTGGGAATTAATTCACAAGTTAAGGAAGAATAGCTTCCTTCATTTATTAAAAAAAATTAATATATATATATATATATATATCTACATACAGATAAATGTGCATGTATACTTCTACATGAATTTCATATAGCCATGACGATAGGTAATGCCACAAGACCTTGCTTAACGACAAGCTGACCTGTTGTTGCATTTACCCCACAAGACTGGTTCCGCAGTGACTACTCCTCTGTACCAATCAACCAAATCATTTCTCCCAGTGAATCACGCTTCCAAGAGTCACTATTCTGAGAAGTAATTTAGGAATGGGAATTAACACCAGGACCTCTGGGTGTTCAAATGCATTTTCGGTCAAGGACAGTGCCATTTTGAGTTACCAGTTGCCAAGGTGCTATAGAAATGGATAATTGACTGAATGGATCAATGACAAACTGAGCTAGAGTTTCTCACTGTGCATGAGTTTCTGTGGCTGGCTACTAAATTATTCTAACTACATATACAAATGCTTCTGTAACTTCTTAGCTGTCTAGAGAGAGAAGCAATCCTTCAATGAATAATGTTTTCTTAATAGACAATATAAGAGATGGGTATGCCAGAAAATAATTATCCTTCTAAATCTTTATACCTTTAACTCCTGGAAAAGGGCAATAGCTGTGACACTCAAATTCTGTCTTCCACTGACTCAGAGAATTTTTTCATTGTCAACATGCCAATGAAAATAGCTCAGTTTTAGCTTCTTAAGGCGGTCTTTACCTGGGCCAATCTGGAGTTACCACATCTAAAAGTAAACACACTGTATCTAGGATTAAAAAAAGAAAATTTACAAATAGTCTTACATGTAAGAGCAAAAGTTACCTACAATTTTCTGCACCATTAGGTCACCATCTATTATTTAAGGTTCTACCTGCGCTGCCCAACACAGTAGACTGTAGCCACATGTGGCTACTTAATTAAGTAAAATTTAAAATTCATCTCCCCAGTCTCATTAACCACATGTCAAGCACTCAACAGTCACATGCGCCCTGCGGCTACTGCATTGGACATTGAGTCTATAGACCATTTCCATAATCACAGAAAGTTTGATTGACAGCACTGCGCTAGACCAATTTGAAATAAATTGGTAACACCCCACACTTTGGTTTTAAAAGATCACACTGTCCCCAACCAACGAAAGGGGACAGATCGTCTTAAATAAAATTTTCACCAAACAAATTCAGGATCTTATCCACGAGCCCAGTTCTCCCTGCATGCCTACTGGAGGCGCAGCTCTTATGGTTGTTTAGACAGCTCCAGGTAGAAAAGAGAGTGCCAGAGTGAGGCACCTTCAAGTCACATTACCTTGGTTCCCATCGTGCACGGAGGGAGAATGCGTTCCTAATAATTATTCCACTGCAACTATTCAAAACTTGCTTCTCCCTAGCTTAGGATTCTTCGATGCATGACACAGCAGCAAGGTATGAGGCAATTCTAGCTCACTGGGCGGAGCAGCATTAAAAATTCATTCTGGGAGGCAGTGACTGCGTCCTATGGTTGCTCACCTGTGGGCACACGGGGCTGCGTGGAAGCGAGAAGACCTGGAAACCAGACCTCTCTTCAGATTATGTTACAGCCACTGCTGATCTTTGATTAGTCACTTACATTCCTGACCGGTCACCTCGTCTATTCAAGTCAGGCCCTTCCGTGAGCTCCACACACAAAATAAAAATTCTCCTGACCACTCAGCCTGGATCGAGCTCAGCGGAAATGCTCTTGGAATCATCTCTTGACTCCGTTTGGAAAACTTGACACCTTCAAACTGCAGGAAAGCAAGTCCATCGGCAACTTCAAGGCTCCTAGGCTAGAGCCTCTGACCTTTCTCAGGTTTCCTTTCTTTTCATTTTATGATTGCTACCGTTAGTTATTATTCAGATGCAAAAATAACACGTGTTTGTGTCTTCTCATTAAGAAATGACAACGTTAAGTCTATTGGAGGCAGTTGTAATTGCAGGCGGCTCCACGTTGGCCCCTTCCAGGCCTGGGACGAATTTTGTTATTTGTCAAGTTGTATTTCTCTTTTTTAAAAGACCTCCCCTTTACCCACCCACGCCTCACTGTATAACCCCCAAACCTGTGCCTGCTTCCTCGATAAGGTCATGGTTAAGAGCTCATTTGCTGGGTTTGTGCCCCCGATTCGCACCCTATTGGATGTAAGGCTGTGGACGAGTGGCTGACCTCTTGAGCCTCAGTTTCCTGGGCTGTAAAACTGGGAAGAATTTGGCACCACCTCCCCAGGCTGTTATAAGGATTTAATACACATAAAGTGCTGGGAAGGGTGCCTGGCACCAGTGGCACCCGCTACATGCTAGCTCTTTATGTAATTATGGGTAAGTCCTCTTTAAGCCCGCCCCCCTGCCAGCCCCTTCCCCTAAGGGTACACCATTATTCTCTTGCTTAGTTTCCTAGACCTTTTTCTACACGTGTACCCACATATGCACCCATAACAAATACACAGTGTACATTTATATGAGTGTTTTATGTAGTATATAAAGTCCTGCAATTTGGTTTTCTTCACTCAATGATACAGTTTGGGGATCTTGTCATTTCAGGGCCCACCAGGCTTTTGCTAGATGGTTCTTAAAATCTTAACAAGTACATAGGCTAAAAAGAAACCACTGCCAGTGGACATTTGGGGTTGTTTCCACTGTTTGGCTGTTGTGAAGCATGCTGCTATGAACATTTGTGTACTAGGTCTTGTGTACATGTTTTCATTTCTCTTGGGTATATACTTAGGATTGAAATTGTTGCATTAAGTGGTAAGTCTATATTTAACTTTTGGAAGAACTGCCAAACTGGTTTCCAAAGTGGCTGCACCATTTTTCACTTCCACAGCAATGTGTGAGGTTTTTGGTTTCTCCACATCTTTACCAGCACCTGTTTCAATGTTCTTCTTATTGAATATAGGAATCCTAGTGGGTGTGAAGTGGTTCCTCGTTGTGGTTTTGATCTGAGTTTCCCTAGTGACTCATGATGTTGAGCATCTTCTTATGTGCTTATTGGCCATTTGTGTATATTCTTTGGAGAATTGTCTATTCAGATCCTTTGCCCATTTTTAAATTGGATTATTTGTCGTTTCATTGTAGAATTTTAAAAGTTCTTTACATAGTCTAGATATTAGACTCTTAACAGATATATAATTTGCAGATATTTTCTCCTACTCTGTAGGTGTTTTCATTTTCATGGTGTTCACTGAAGCACAAAAGTCTTCGATAAAGCCCAATTTATCTATTTTTTCTTATGTTGCTTATGTTTTAGGTATTTAACCTAAGAAACTATTGCCTAATCTAAAGTCCAAGAGCTACACCTATATTTTCTTCTAAGAGTTTTATGGTTGATCCATTTTGAGTTAATCTTTGTATATAACATGAGGAAATGGTCTAAATTCATTTTTTGCATGTGGCTATCCAGTTGTGACAGCACCACTTGTTGAAATGTTATTCTTTCCCCCACATTGAATTGTCTTGGCATTCTTGTCAAAAATCAATCAACCATAAACATATGTGTTTATTTCTGGACTTCTAATTCTATTCCATCGATCGACATGTCTGTCTTTACACCAGTTCCACACAGACTTGATTACTGTAGCTTTGTAGTACGTTTTGAAATCAGGAAATGCGAGTTGTCCGATTTCATTCTTCTTTTATAAGATTGTTTTGGTTATTCTGAGATTCTTGCATTTCCATATGAATTTTAGGATCAGCCTGTAAATTTCTGCAAAAAGCCAGATGGGATTTTGATAGGGATTGTATTGAATCTATAGAGCAATTTGGGGATTATTGCCACCTTCACAACATTGAATCTTTCAATTTATGAACACAGGATGTCTTTCCATTTATTTAGGTCTTCAGTTTCTTTCAATGATATTTGATGGTTTTCAGTGTACAAGTCTTACATTTCTTTTGTCAAATTTATTCCTATTTTTTTTTATGCTTTTGTACATGGAACTATAGTCTTTTTTTTAAGATTTTTATTGGGGAATTGGGGGAAGGGCAACAGACAAGTTGCTGTTGTTTTGTTCCTCCGTCTAGTTGTGGAGGATGTTGCTTCACTGGCCCAAGTTGGCACCATCATTGCGCTCTTCATGGGCGAGGCAGATCAGTTGCTGGCTTCTGGATGGCTGTTCACTGCGGCTGCTGGCCGCTCACGCTGGCTTCTGGCTACACATGGTAGCCCATGGCAACCCATTGCAGCAGGGGTTGCAGCCCACACCTCCGGCGGCAACTCATGGCAGCCCAGCTCCAAGTTGAGCTGTTGTTCAGCATGTAGAGGGCAGTGTCGCTGGCCCACATATGTGGGATCCAAACCAAGGCCCTCTGGCTCCCAAGCCAACTCTTAACCAATGCGCCACTAGGCCGGCCCCAAGCAATCTTAAAAACAACTAAAAGTCATTGTGCTTTGGATTATCAGCAGGCACTAGCAATTCTAGACTATGTCAGAAAAATCCCCCGCTCCCTAAAGAATCTTTTGTTGGTCTAAGTTTTCAATGATTGTAGCTCAACTATGTCTGTTGAGTTTTGATAATGTATACACAAGCTTCAAATTAGCATTTTGTTGCTCATCCTTTAAGAAGCATTGAATTCTATATAGAAGTTAATTTAGAAAATTCCTGCTTATATAGGCCTCCTCCAACCCACACAGACGCAGTACATGTGTTCCCTTTGAGAGCAAGATCATATCGATTTGCAATTGTTTGAGCTCACTTTGAGCACTTTCCATGTCCCCAGTCCCTGTAGTTTTATATATTCCTGAGTTTAAACAGTAGATTAGAAATAATAATAGCTATATGCAATTTCTTTTCAGAGTTATCTTTTTCTTAGGAGATGTTTTAACTGAGGTTAATCAATCGTCAAAATTTTTATAAAGAGCCAGAATCAGCCTTGAACATCAGTCTTTAAGACTGTACCCTTGGGGTAACCAGTTAGCTCAGTTGTTTAGAGCGTGTTGCTGATAACACCAAGGTTGCCAGTTCGATCCCCGCATGGGTCTGTGAGCTGCACCCTCCTTAAAAGAGTCAACTATGCCATTGTAGCATGAAGGCAATGTGTAACCAATGACCATGGCTGTTCCACAATAAAATTAAAAAACAAACGAACAACAACAACAACAAACTGTACCCTGAAGATCCTCTACAGAAAAGGTGTGAAAGCCATTAATTCTGGCTTAGTTGTGCAGAAAGCAACAAACTATGCAAAACAAAATGGAAGATTAATATATACATAGAAAAACAAACAAATCTCAATGAAGAGGGGCAGGAGAAACAATGAAAGATACTGGTTTTACTGGAAAAAAAAATCAAAATAGCAGTATTAAAATACCTTGATCATTTTCACCCACAACTAAAGGCTTGTTCTAAAGCCAAGCATGAAACACCGTCAGTATCATGAGAGAGTGGCCATACAAATGGACAATGGCCAGCCCATATATAAAAAACAGAACTCTGACCTACAACCTGCAGCAACCGGCCCAGAAAACCAACCCACTACATGAAACAAACCACCCTGGAAAGCCAGCCTGCTCTCGCTCTCTAGTTCCATCCAGGAATGCCAAACAATAACCCCTGCAATGTCAGTTCAAAAAGGCCAGGACTGGGGCTGGCCAAGTGGCTTGTTGGTTAAGAATCGGCTTGGGAGCACGAGTTCTGAGCAGCAGGGCCGCCGGTTCAGATCCCACATGGGCCAGTGAGGCTGCGCCCTCTACAGCTAAGATGATAAACAACAGCTCGACCTGGAGTTGGGCTGCTGTGAGTCGCCAGCAACAGTGTAGGCTGCAGCGGGGCTGCAGTGGGCTGCCATAAGCTACCGTGAGTGGCCTGCAGCCGGTGTGAGCTGTCATGAGCCACCGTCAGTGGCCATCCAATGGCCGGCGACCGATCTGTCTCAGCCAGGCAGAGCGCAATGATCACAATACCAACATGGGCCAGTAAAGCGATGTCCTCCACAACTAGACGGAAGAACCAAAGGACAGCAACTTGTCTGTTCCCCTTCCCCAATTCCCCAACGCTGTTTTCTCCCCCAATTCCCCAATAAAATCTTTAAAAAAAATGGCCAGGACTTGGGGTGGCCGGTTAGCTCAGTTGGTTAGAGCGCAATGCTCATAATACCAAGGTTGCAGATTCGATCCCCACATGGGCCACTGTGATGTGCCCTCCACAACAAGAATGAAACAACTACTCGACTTGGAGTCAGGGAAGCCGGTTGGCTTAGTTGGTTAGAGCGCAGTGCTCATATCACCAAGGTTGCCAGTTGCTCATAACACAAAGGTTGCCAGTTCAATCCCCACACCCTCCACAACTAGATTGAAACAATTACTTGACTTGGAGCTGATGGGTTCTGGAAAAACACACTGTTCCCCAATTAAAAAAAAAAAAAGCCAGGACTTGATTCATAACT